ACATAAAACCATAGACTGGGTGTCCTAGGTAACAGAAATTTATTTCTGACAGTTCTGGAGCATCTAAGATCAAGGTGCTGGCTGATTCAGTTCCTAGTGAGGGCTCCCTTTCCGGCTTGCAGACGGCTACCTTCTTGCTGTTGGCACATGACCTTTCCTTGGCTCATGCATGTGGAGAGAGATCTCTCTGATGTCTCTTCTTATATGGTCAGTGATCCAATAATAAGGGCTCTGCCCTCATAAACTCATCATATCCTAATTATCATCCAATCCCCCCTTTCTAAATCACATTGTGAGTTAGGGATTCAATGTATGAATTTTGGGGACACTCAAATATTTAGTCTATAACACCCCATTCTCTAGACTTTCTCAAATTTATATCCTCTCTCTGAGAGAGAGACCTACTTCACACCTTCTCAGTGCAAATTTCATCTTCATTTAAGGAATCCTCATCTTATTCATGCAGTTTAATCATGCCTTAGAATCCATCACCCCTCCTACAGGCCTTGTGACTCCTTCTTTCCCACTGCACTTGGGATCTGTTGCTTAACTTACTCTGGAAATCCCGTGTATCTACTGATGTGGTGACCCTCAATTTTTATGTTTCATTCCATGTGAGCCTTATCCGTACTGACCTCACAGCTCTGGCCTCCTCTAATCCTGTACCTACTCCTGGGCCCAGTGTCTCCTACTCTTCCTGATCATGTGATTCTCATCCTCACTGTCTCCATTTCTTTTACTCCACTGGTCCTGAGGGCTCCTCCCTCAGTGAACCTAATCTAAAAACACTGTAATCCCCTTAATCCTAACTCCACTTGATGGCAGCTTATTCTCTCTACTACTATCACAGAAAATCCTATTCTTATATAGTCATCTTCTCTCTATCCCAGTTTACTTTTTGCCAGTTTTTTCCCCTTGAGCACAGTCTCTGAATCTTATTTAATAACCACACTGCTTCAATACCTGAGAAAGTTATCAAAGAACTTTTTTTATTTATATATAACAATTTTGGCTTGAATATCAAAGTTAACGTATGACATATGATACGTCTTAGTTAGGAGCCATTATGGTTCATTAAACAAGCACAGGAAGCATTCAGCAAATGTTAACTGAATATCACAGTTTTCAAGGATGCAGTGATGTGAGATATAGGCACCATGCTCTGCAGGAGTTCTGTTTCTGTCACCATTTCAACATGATCATGTTAGGAGGTCCTTCTAACTCTTACTGAGGCTATTTTCCAGAGAACAAAAGGGAAACCATGCTGTTCAAGAACACCTGTTTCCTTTATAATTTTTCTGTTGCAAGATTTCTTCTGGAGACATGGGTAATTTGACCTCAAACTAAGATTATACTTGAAGCCCTTTGAGGGTACAAAGATTGCAGAATCAGCACTGCTATCTCCCAGCTCTGAAGATCCAAGTTTGGACTGCTGTTCCATGGATTGTCTGTTTTCACTGGCTGTGGAGGGGTAGAGAGTGTGCCTGTAAATAGAAGCCAGCGGATGCTCTTGTGTCCATCATGAAGACATTTTCTTCGGTGCATCAGGATTCCTTCACATCATCAGCTTTGAGAACCTAGCATAATCATTGCTTCAGAAGGTGTATGATTGCAGAACAGCGATTTCTTTCCCTTCTCAGGATTTTGGTTGGCTTCAGAGTGCTTTTTATTTTGATTTTGATAATCACTCTATGGCTCAAATAGCATGAAAAGTCACAAAGGTAACTGTTTTAGAGAAAAGAAATTCCTTCCATTGTAATACAAACAAGAATTTCTTATTGAAATATTAGAACCTAAAAACTACATACTCTTTGATATTTTATTCTTGAAGGAATAGTTCATAAAATCATTAAAAGCATAATTAAATCAGACCTTGTCCATAGGCATTATTAACATGGCTCCTTCATCTCATCATAAAAGTTAGTTTTCTTTGATTCATACAAAGCACCAGGCTTTGAATACCTAAACCCTTGTGAACCATGTGATTTTTAAAACCAGGCACAGGGAACTGCCAAGATACCAGGGAAAAAGAAGGTATGGTTAGACGAGAAAAAACAATTATTTGATTTCTATTTAAAGTATTTCCTTGGTAATGTTTCCTGAATTGATGCATGCTCTTCCTGGTCCAGTCTCTTGTGTTCTTTCCCAGAGCAGTTTATGTCTATATATTGCTATGCTTGAGAATCATGGACTTTCCATGAATATTTTTTTATTCAAGGGTTGGTAACTTTTCCTCACAATTTCAGAGGGTGAAAAAAATACTCATAAAAAGAAAAGCAATTTGTAGCTTTTAGCCAAGAACTGTATATTAGTTTGAACAATCACATAGTTAATCTGTAGAAATTTGTAGCAGGCTTCAATGATTTTGATTTCTCTGTAGGAAAATGTCTTTCTCTGAGACGTTATATAATTTTATGTATTTTAAAATAACATTCTGAATAATAGTTTAAAATATGAAGTACATATTTTAAATGAGTTTTATTTGATTTTTATTGTATGTT